TATGATTCTCTCTCATCATGGATGTTCCTCTCTCTCTCCCTCTCCCTTCCTCTCTGAAATCAATACCAATATATTTTTTAAAAGAGAAAGGTGTTGCTTTAAATAAAAATAAAATAAAATGAATAGGTAGGTAAACATTATTTAAACAAACAAACAAAAACAGAGCAGGGAGGGCTTCTGAGAGGCTGAGTCGGTGGGAGCCCAGGGCAGCCCTGAGCCGCTCACTCGCTCGTCTCCAGGCCCTACAAGAACGTCACCGAGTACGACGGCCAGGACGCCTGCGGCTCCAACAGCTGGAACATGGTGGACGTGGACCTGCCCGCCAACAAGGACATGGAGCCCGGCATCCTGCTGCACGGCCTGAAGCCCTGGACGCAGTACGCCATCTACGTGAAGGCCGTGACGCTGACCATGGTGGACAACGACCACATCCGCGGGGCCAAGAGCGACATCCTCTACCTCCGCACCAACGCCTCAGGTACCGCATGCACAGCCATGTCAGTCCTCCACACACGCTCTCTCCTCTTCCTCCCTCCCTCCCGCTCCCTTCTCCTCTCCCTCCCTCCCTCTCTCCCTCCCTCTCTTCCCCCCCCTTCCCCTCCCTCTCTCTCCCTTTCTCCTCTCCCTCCCTCTTCCTCTCCCTCACTCCCTCTCTTTCTGTCTCTCCCTCCCTCTCTTCCTCCTTCCCTCCCTTCTCTCTCTATTTCTCTACCTCTCTTCCTCTTCTCTCTCTCTTTCTCCCCCCCCTCCTTCCAGCCCCTTTTACTTTCCCTTTTCATCTGGGTTCTTGGCGTGGGAACCAGTGATTCCCAAATCTCAGATGACACGCGCACTGCTCATGTTCACCGCTTGCAACACATGTGCAGACTCCACGTGTGGACTCGCTGGGGGCTCCCGGGCATCCTCCCGCCCCGGGTCCCCCAGCACCTTGTCCGGCCGCCGCTCAGCCACGTGTGCTCTCCCTGAGGTGACCGGTCATGGACGCCCAGAGGGAGATGCCGGCACTGGCCTGCGCTCTCAGCCCTCGCAGTGCCTGTCTGCGCGGCCCTCCTCTCCCGGCCGGACATGGTTTGCACGGAGTCTGAGGGCCTGGATCTCGGGTCCTTTCCAGCTCCCGAAACGCCCTCTGTTCTCCCTCCAGTGCCTTCCATCCCCCTGGATGTCATCTCGGCCTCCAACTCGTCCTCCCAGCTGATCGTCAAGTGGAACCCGCCCTCCCTGCCCAACGGCAACCTGAGCTACTACATCGTGCGCTGGCAGCAGCAGCCGCAGGACGCCTACCTGTACCAGCACAACTACTGCTCCAAAGGCACGCGGCTGCGGTGGGAGGCAGGGGAGGGGGGCGCCCCGGGAGCCTGTGTCCCAGCCCCCAGGAGACGCAGGTCAGGCCAGGGGCCGTGACCTCCCAGCAGGGTGACCTGGCCCTCCGGCGCCTCTCTCCCCGAGCAGACAAGCTCCCCGTCCGCAAGTACACAGAGGGCGTCTTCGACATCGAGGAGGTGACGGAGAACCCCAAGACCGAGTCGTGCAACACCCCCAAGGGGCCCTGCTGCGCGTGTCCCAAAACCGAGGCCGAGAAGCAGGCGGAGAAGGAGGAGGCCGAGTACCGCAAAGTCTTTGAGAACTTCCTGCACAACTCCATCTTCGTGCCCAGGTGCCCTCCCAGCCGAAACGGGCGGGGCTCCCTGGGGCGGGCCTGTCGCCTCCCCTCCACCCCCCGGTAGTGGGTGGATCCATGACTTCGAGGCGGCACCAAGTCGCCATCAAGGAGGGACAAGCGCCTGGTGGCCGGTGTGGTTCAGTGGTTGTGCATTGACCTCTGAACCAGGAGGTCATGGTTCCATTTCCGGCCAAGGGCACATGCCCGGGTTGCAGGCTCGATCCCCAGTGGGGGGCGTGCAGGAGGCAGCCAGTCCATGATTCTCTCTCATCATTGATGTTTCTCTCTCTCCCTCTGCCATCCTCTCTGAGATCAACACAAATATATATTTAAAAAAATAAAAAAGAAAAAATAGAAGGAAATCCCTGTACTACTGGTTGGCTCTTAGCCAGGAGAGCTGCATCGCTCCTTTCATTCCCGGGTGACGAGTTTGCTTTTCTCTCCGTGACTCCAACCCAAGGCAGAGATAAGACAGAAGTGGTGGAGGCCCCTGCGAGCCTGGTGGAGGCCCCTGCGAGCCTGGTGGAGGCCCCTGCGAGCCTGGTGTGTGTCTCTCCTTTGCAGGCCCGACAGGAAACGCAGGGACGTGGGCCAGATCTCCAACACCACCCTCTCCGGCCGGAGCAGGAACAGCACGGTGACGGACCCCTTCAACAGCACGGACTCGGACGACAGGGAGACGGACTACCCTTTCTTCGAGAGCAGGGTGGACAAGAAGGAGAGGACCGTCATCTCCAACCTGAAGCCCTTCACCCTCTACCGCATCGACATCCACAGCTGCAACCACGAGGCCGAGAAGCTGGGCTGCAGCGCCTCCAACTTCGTCTTTGCGAGAACCATGCCTGCAGGTACGGCGCGATCCAGCTGCACCCTCCCCGAGACTCCCTGCTTGTTACAGAATGGGGGCTGCCGGGCTGGCGTGGCTCCGTGATTGAGCATCGACCTAGGAACCAGAAGGTCAGGGTTCGATTCCCGGACAGGGCAGGTGCCCCAGTTGCAGGCTTGATCCCCAGTAGGGGGCGTGCCAGCTGATCAGTGATTCTCGTCGTTGATGTTTCCGTTTCTCTCTCCCTTTCTTTCTAAAATAAATAAAAACATATTTATAAAAATAAGGAAATAAATAAAAAGAGTGAGTGCTCCTGTGGGGGCAGCCTGCTAGATCCCTCCTGGCGACATCACTCCCATCCCAGAATCTCCGCACAGAGTACAAAAGAGTGTGGACGTCGCTTCAAGGTCACCACTGCTCCCCCAGCTGGGTTCAGGGCACGCATTTCCATGGCCTTTCCCCATCTGTGCCAGGTCCCTCCCAAGTCCTCACGGCTTCAGTGAAGTCCCCAAGTCGCTGCCTTGACTCCGAGTGACCTTCACTCCCCAAGGTCATCTCCTGGAGCTGCCCTTGGTCCTCCTTGTTGGGTCTTCTCCATCCCCTTGTAGGTCAGAAGCTGCCTGTCGCTCAGACCCATGCCCACCCATCTTTAAGGATGGATGCCGCCCTACGTGGTTTGGCTCAGTGGACAGAGTGTCAGCCTGCAGACTGAAGGGTCCTGGGTTCGATTCCCAGTAGGGGGCGCGCGGGAGACAGCCGATCCATGAGTCTTTCTCTCATGGATGTTTCTCTCTCTCTCTTCCTCTCTGAAATCAATAGAAATAAAAAAGTTAAAAAAAAAATTAAAAGGATGGGTGCAGTGCCCGGTTCCCTGTCTCGGAGGTGGCAGGGGGTGGCCGTGGCTGGCATCGCGAGACTCACGGGGCATCACGTGCCTCTGCCTCCCAGACCGGTGCTGGGTGCGGGCGTCCAGCTCACGGGGACTGTGTGGTCGCCGCCCTCAGTCCTGGGTTGGAGGAGGGCACGCGTGGGGGAGCCCGGTGTTGGCATCCCTCCCAGGAGACCGAATCTGACTTCATCACTTGTGTCTAATGGTTACACAGACGGAGCGGATGACATTCCCGGGCCGATAACCTGGGAGGTGAAGCCTGACAACACCATCTTCTTAAAGTGGCCGGAACCGGAGAATCCCAACGGTCTGATTCTCACGTATGAGATAAAATACGGGTCGCAGGTCGAGGTAAGACGGGGCCGGGGACGAACCGTGTCTGCGTGTGTCTCCTTCCCAGGAGACCAGAGGTGACAGTACGGCACAGGCCCCTCCTGCTTAGCTTGATTTTAAATAATAAAATAAGGGCTCAGCCCAGCCGGCGTGGCTCAGTGGTTGAGCGTCGACCTGTGAACCAGGAGGTCCCGGTTCAATTCCCAGTCAGGGCACGTGCCTGGGTTGTGGGCTCCATACCCAGTGGGGGACATGCAGGAGGCAGCCGATCCACGATTCTTCCTCATCATTGATGTTTCTCTCGCTCTTCCCCTCTCCCTTCCTCTCTGAAATCAATAGAAATATATTTTTAAAAAAACAAAAAACGTGGGTGCCTTTGAAGGCTTGCTTGCTTCCCTGCGATTGCAAATCAGGATCGCGGGCAGGTGGGAGGGAGAGGCTGGGCCGCGAGAGCCACCCGTTTCTCGCGTGTCTGTGGGAGGTGATGTGGATCTGTCTCCCTCCCCCCAGGACCAGCGGGAGTGCGTGTCGCGGCAGGACTACCGGAAGCACGGAGGGGCCAAGCTGCAGAAGCTCACCCCGGGGAACTACACGGCCCGCATCCAGGCCACCTCTCTGTCGGGGAACGGGTCCTGGACAGAGCCCGTGTTCTTCTACGTCCAGGACAAAGGTGAGGCCGGGGGAGGAGCCGCTGGGAGGCGGGAGAAACGCGGGCCGGGACTGGGGAAGCCGGGGGCATCCTGGCCGTTCGCTTCTCTGTCCTGGGAGTGCCGGTGACAGGGACACGAGCCGGGCTGCAGGGAGCTCAGGGCTCTTGGACTCCTAACTGGACTGTGGTGTCGGGGGAGAATTCAGAGCTACTTGGACAAGGGGTGCCATGCAGCTACTGTGTGTGTGTGTGTGTGTGTGTGTGTGTTTTATATTTTTACTGATTTCAGAGAGGGGACGAGAGAGAGAAACATCAGTGATGAGAGAGAATCATGGCTCAGCTGCCTCCTGCACGCCCCTTACTGGGGATCGAGCCTGCAACCCAGGCAGGTGCCCTAACCGGGAATCGAACCGGGACCTACTGGTTCATAAGTCAACACTCAACCACTGAGCCACACCGGCCAGGCTATGTGTGCGTGTGTGTTTTAATTGTCTGAGGCACTGTCTTAAGACAGATAAGAAGGCCAGTATACGGCTCGAGCACTGGATAAGTAAGAATCTCTCTGCATTTTATTTCAGCAAATGCATGCATTTCCCTTTATAGTCGTGAAGCTGCAGACAAAGGCTGTTATGCTGGAGCCCATCATGTGAACTATGATGGCAGGGGACCCTGCACTCTAAAAAGAAAAACGGGCCCCAGCAGGCGTGGCTCAGTGGTTGAGCATTGACCTTTGACCCAGGAGGTCACAGTTCTATTCCTGGTCAGGGCACACGCCCAGGCTGCGGGCTCCATCCCCGGTAGGGGGCGTGCGGGAGGCAGCGGAGCCTCAACTCTCTCTCATCATGGATGTGTCTCTCCGCCTTTCCCTCTCTCTCTAAAAATCAATGGGAAAATATCCTCGGATGAGGATTAACAAAAAAAATGAATGAGTGAGTGAATGAATGAATGAATGAATGAAATGAAACGAGTAGCCTGTTCACCTCATGACTTTTGACCCTTGCCCCTGGCACTCCCGCAGCAGCGTATGACAGTCACGCCCACCTGGTCATCGCGCTGCCCATCGCCATCGTGCTGACCGTCCTGGGGCTGGCCCTCACGCTGTACATCATCCACAGGAAGCGGTGAGTGGCGCGGGGGGAAGACGCCCGGGTGGGTGTCGGGCGCTCGGGGGCGACGGGGTGTGAGTTAAGGTCAACTTTTTGAAGGAACAGTTTGGGGCTCGGAAAAGCTGGTTTTCCAATCTGATGTGCTTCCTGGGAACAGAGAATGTTTTATTTGTTTGTCTGTTTGTTTATTTTTGGTGAATCTTTATTCGAGGATATTTTTCCATTGATTCTTAGGGACAGTGGATGGGTGCGGGGGGAGAGAGAGAGGAACATTGATGTGAGAGAGACACGTTAATGGGTTGCCTCCTGCACATGCCCCGACCCAGGCCAGGACCAGGTTTGCAACTCAGGTATGTGCCTTCGCCCGGGAATTGAACTCAGACCCCTCGGTTCGCGGGCCGACGCTCTGTCCACTGAGCCAAACCGGCCAGGGTGAGAATGTTTGCTAATGACTCAACAGCGACACCATTTTTCTGATGGTGATATCGTCCCCTCACTGGTCACTCAATCACACAGACGCCGCTGCCCTGCTAAGCTTCCCAAGCCCGATCCGTTAGCCCTGTCGACCCAGTAACCCTTTCTGGTCATTTCCAATGAAGTTCAGAGATGAATGTTCTTTCAAAACTCTAGTCTGGCCTGGCTGGTGTGGCTGGTTTGAGTCCAGGTCAGAGCACATGCCCACATTGTGGGCTCGATCCCCAGTAGGGGACGTGCAGGAGGCAGCCAATCCATGATTCTCTCTCATCATTGATGTTTCTATCTCTCTCTCCCTCTCCCTTCCTCTTTGAAGTTAATAAAAATAGATCTTAAAAATTAATCAATAAAGGCTCTAATCTGCTCTAGCCAGTTTGGTTCAGTGGATAGAGCATAGCTCAGGGACTGAAGGATCCCGGGTTCGATTCCTGTCAAGGGCACGTGCCTGAGTTGCAGTCTTGATCCCCACCCCAGGAAGCAACCAATCCATGTGTCTCTCTCACATCGATGTTTCTCTCTCTCAGTCTCTCCCCCTCCCTTCCACTCGCTCAAGAAAAAAAAAATCAATGGAAAAATATCCTCGCGTGAGGATTAACAAAAAATAAATAAATAAAAAAGGCTCTCATCTGAGGGCTCCAAGCTCCGCTCACCCTTTCTCCGGGAGCTGAATGAAACAGAATGAATAAAACGGCGACAACAGAGATGCAAGCCTTTACAGAAATGCGTGGGGGTGGATGGGGTTTTTTCTTTGCCTAACGTGTCCCCCTTTTGGCTGGCGCAGTAATCGGATGGGGAACGGAGTGCTGTACGCGTCTGTGAACCCCGAGTATTTCAGCGCGGCCGACGGTAAGCTCAGCTCCCTGCGTGGGGGCGCCGGTCCGGCCGCTTTCGGGAGGGTGGCTCACCTCGGGGAGGAAGAGGTCTGCATGACTTGGAGGTACTCTGTCTTCGGTAACACTTCTTTACATAAAAAAAACCAAAGTTCTTAGCAGTTCGCTGAGTATCTCAAAAATGCCGCACTGCCCAGCCGGTGTGGCTCAGTGGTTGCGCGTCAGCCCATGAAATCTTCACATTCTTTCTTGCCCTTTGTCTTTGAAACCCAGGGTGGATCTTCGACTTACAGCGTGTCTCCAGGTGGACTGCTTTCTGCGTCTTATTTTTCATTATTTTTTTTAAACGTATCTTCATTGTAGAAAGTATGACCGATGTCCCCTTTGGTTTTTTGGGGGTGTTTTTTTTTTTCCCATTGACACCCA